ACTTTATATTGGCAATGGTTTTCTTGGTTATAACATTTTTGTTAAATATCAGAGTAGTTTGTCGTAACATTTGCAATGTTTTTCACAAGTGAAAAGCATGATTTTCCAACTACTGTACATTTATTTACACGATTTATGCATTATTAATCGATTTTTGTCTTTAAAATCGATCCTCAAATTTTAATCGATTCTTAAATTTTAATCGATTCTAAATTAATCAATTCATCAAATTTATCGTTATCATTATGTCTACGTATTTTTCTATCCAGATTTATTTCTGATTTTCTGATAGTGTGTTGTGTGTTCTGAATATTCAGAACCAATCCGATTATCTAATTTGTTCTGAGAGTGTGCCAAAATGACGAATGTTCAGTTCTAAATGGGTTTAGGTGATATGATATATAACATATAAACTCATTCATTACAGAACTTATTTACTGCTAATTCTGTTTTCGACCGTAACATTACTACAATCATGAGTATTGTGAACTGAACATTCATTGCAGTACTTATTGTTATAATATTGACAACGAGTGCATTTACTACAATCATGAGTATTGTGATCCGAACACTTATTATAGTAATCCCATACCCCATAAAAAAACGCACTCACTACAATGATTTATAAAATCAGTGTTTTATTTAAAACTTTGAAATGATAAGTACTGATTGTGTGATTAGAACTTCTATCATTATTGGACCCCGTTCAAAAAAACGCGACCCGGGTAAGAAGATTACCCGTTGAACCATATAGGATAACTTTCTCATGATTGGTCAATCACATCAATCACATGAAATTAAATAAATCTGTATGATTGGTTACATTTTATTAAGCTTTTGTAACAAACTATCAAATTCCGTATTTTTGATACCACTAATAACGATAAGTTCGTCATCTTCATCTATTTCATTTTTAAGTTTTTCAGTTCTATTACTTTCCTGAACCTGTACATTTTCTATAGTTTTTGTATTTTTTTTATCTTTATCTTTCATACCTTTCAGGCGTTCTAGTAACTGATCTACATTCATCTGTATTCCATTCTTCAAGAATTCCAGACATGGTGAACATTTCTGATCAACTTCGTTTAAACATTCTACGTGATATTTGTGACCGCAGGCTAGTATCTTTAAATTGGAAGATAATAAGTTAGTATATACGTGTATATTAGTTTTAGTACAGAGCGAATAATCACACAAGATAAACTGATTAGGTTTTTGAGAAGTACTAAAGCCCAAAGAAAGATGACGAGTATCTGCAACAATTCTGATAACCAGTATCAATATATTAGAATTGTTTATGATTTTTCTTTTCTTTTTTCCTTTGGTTAATATTTTTGGTTTACTTAAATTTAGACCCATTGTGCCGTCTGTAGCAATTCGGTTGTAGATGTTAATAAAACACTCCAATAAAAAACACGCAGCTTTTTGTGTGCAGCTATTCAAATCTCTATAGTTCAAAGGATATCTTTTCCAGGTTGATTGATGTTCAAATAATTCATTGAGACGTTTCTCATGTTTTAAAAAATTAACAAAATGTGCTTGACGTTGTAAGTGTTCTGCAGTATCATGCTTCTGGGTGGTTCATCTCAGAATGCTATGAAATAATTTGATGGGAGCATTGGAAAATTTTGGCAAATGCGCTTTTAAAATTTCTAAAATTGGATGATTAATACTTTTCCAATATAAAACATCTGACAAGAACATTAGTGGTGCCTTATTGTAATTATGACGAGCAAACCGTAAAAAAATTACCCAAACCCGTATCATTGATTCTTCGTATTCTTGCCATTCACCTATGTGAAAAAAAATTGTGTATATATCGAGAACAAGTGGAATTATGTTATTCACTAAATCTTTTAACGTTAAGTATTCAAGATCTTCGCAAAGGCTAAATTTTATTTCAATAATGTCTGAAACCTGAAGTCACCCACGACGAGTCATCTCGAGAAGCAAATTAATTCACCAGGGTTGAATATTGATTCCAAGCCCTTTCATTTTGTTGAATAAATAATTATGTAACGAAGAAAAAAATGGATGATACTGCTTATAGACGAGTTCATGGCTATTTAAAGATATATGCAATGGTCCAATGATCAGAATGAACAATAATGTGTCCTGAGGAATGTTAGATTTATCACCATATGTTAGAAATCGTGAGATTACGCTTCTTACAAATATTTGACCAGGCCAATTAGCAACAAGAGGTACGGTATAACCTGAATCTAAATATTTTTGCATTGTATTCACTCTTTTAATAATAGCAAAACTCTCCAAATACTCGTTAATAGAATGTAAATTATTTGTCACAAGATTGACGAGCACAATATCACTCAATGATCGATCATTCATTCTCTCCTTGAACCAAAGATCATAACTATGAATCATTAACGCTTCCATAATTTTTTCTTCATTTTCACTTATCTTATTTTTCCATCGTTCATTAAAAGATATTCCCAGTAATGTTATAAATCGAGTTTTTAAGTCTACTTTTAGGGAATTCGCGTCTACAAGCTTTGGATTGTGAATACTTTTGCTGTTGCAATTTATAGGAATTGGTGATATTTTATTTACTGGATTTAATAGAATCATTGCCATGTGAGTTGCCATCGACGTTTTATTATCTTTCAGAACATGATTCATATGTATGTTGTAAAAATCATCTACATTTAAAATCATAGCATTTTCACAATAATCTCCTAACTTTTCATTTATCATATGTGTATGATTCTTTGATATTTCATTTTTCTTGCGCCAGACGGTTTGTGTCATTGACGTGATACTGAGTTCTGATAAAGCATTAATCGTTGAATCGCTCGTACTTATAGAATCAAGATAAAGTACTAGATCGTGTTTCATGTTAATAACAAATTTGTTATGTAAACCACAAAGCAAGTAGCAAATAAAAAGTAGTTGAGACTAAGGTTGCTTGCCAAAATCCCTTAGTGATTGTCTAAATTCTGTCAAAATTATAATAAACTATTAGTAAATAACCCGTCAAAATTCTGACGAATTTTGAAACCCGTCATAATCGAAATTATGTCAAAATTCTAATTAACAATTAGTGTGTAACCCATTGAAATTATGACGATATTTTTCTAAAAGAATTTAGGCAAGCATCCTTAGTTGAGACATTATTTTGGGATGCGATTCTGGCTTTTTTTGTGATAAATTTGTTGATAATACGAGTTCATCGAAAAAAGCCATTAGTTGTCCATTTTCCGTTTTCAAACAAGAACGAAATTTCCCAAAATCTTGAAATGCTGGCAATTTTTGCGTTACTTCACGTTTATATAAAATTTCTGTTATAATTTTTATTGCTTCCAAAAAAGACATTACTTCTGGTTCCAATACAACATCAATCTTAGGTCAAGCATCAAATATTACCTTCAGTTCCAATAAAGTATCATCAAATGTTGCCTTCATATCTTCTTTCATCGCAGCTGAAGGCTGAACGATCATTCCGTTATAGCATAGTTGGCACACTGTGTCTCCAACTTTTAGGTAAGCTGGTAATGTATTGTTATCTCGAGCACTCTCCCAAACCCAGTTAGTTACACCTTTCATACGTTTCCCAGATGCTTTAGTACATATCTTTATTGCACATTGTCATTCTTCCATGTCAAATTCAGTCTTATGTAAAGTGTGCTTGAATAAAGAGATTCTTCAGGATTCTTTTGCAAGGAGTTTTTTATAAGTATTCTAAATGACTTTAGATCAATTTTTGATAATCTTGTATTATTAAAATCTTCCAAATTTGAAAAGTACTCTAAACTGTATAAATTCAATTGACTAAAATTGACCAATCAGAAGAAAGTTAGCCTATATCGTTGAACCCGAGTTAGCATGATCAAAATTATGTGATTGGTTGACTTATTGTCAGACGGTTGTATGTACATGTATTATGTACAGTGTGTGACAAAAAAATAATTATTTGCAGATCAAATTAGACAATAGCGATAGCGATAGTTCAATTACATATATAAGTAAACTTTCGCAAAAATTTGTTATCAAAATGTCACCAACCGCTCGCGAACAAAAGATCTATAGTTTATTATATTATTGAAATGAAGGCATCCGTTCTGTGCCTGAACTATTCAAACTCATCAAGCTATCTGTATCTACTGTACGATATACGTAGCTCAAAAAACTGTCACTTTGAAGCATAAAGATGTATTAATTTCCCATAATTCATGTTTGTTATTATGACTATCAGATATCGAAATTACATGTATTTATTACTTTTTAATCTCTATCGCTATCCTTAAACACTCCTGCTCAATATCGCAATTGCGTTTGCCCTTTTTTGTATTTGAAAGCTTTCGTACTGTTGATCACTCATCCAAACTGGTTTAATAGGTGTACATTCACATGCTAAATGATCATTCCAGCACTTGTAACATTTATTCTGATATTGTAATGGAATATGGGGGCAATCTGTGCCCCAATGTCCTATTTCGTTGCAAAAAAAGCAAACTAAACGGGTATCATCACCATCATTATTATTATTAGCCACGGTGTGTTGTTATTGTTATTATTATTATTGTCATTGTTATTATCATTATGATTGAAAGAGTTATTAACAGTTTCAATCGATTTCAAGACAACATCGTGGGAAGTTTCAACTGATTTCAAGATAACGTCGAGGGATTTATTTACTGTAACTAATAAGGATTTGACGACGATGGTCTTGTTGTCCATGATACTGTTGATTAGTGGAATGTGGCGACAAGTGGCTTTGTGATCGAGTGCAAAAGATAGTATATAGTATTGGAATGTGTCGATGAAGATGGATGGTTTGGCGTACAATGGAATAGTGACCGTGGGTGTATGTAGTAATAGAATGCAGATGGTGGTGAAAAGCGACAATAGGTGATGGAATAATGGCAATGGTGATGGATGGTGTGTATGTAGTAGTAGAACAGCAACAGCAATCAGTAATAGCGGTGGTGAAAAACATATTGCTGTAAAACATTCTTATAAAATAAGACAAACAATAATAACTTACCTTATTAAGAGTAGTGAAAGAGTAAAAGAGTAAGAGTGACAAGAGTGGAAAACTAAAAAAAAAGTTTACAATGAGATTTTATACAAAAAATCTGCCCACTTTTTTTTGTGGCGTAGTTCACATGAGTTTGTGATTTTGGGGTTGATACAGTATTATTCTTAGTTATCGTTATTCCCACGTTCTACATTAATCAGTGTTTTGGGGGGGGGAGGTACGTTATAAAAGTAACTTTTTAATAAAATAGTAGAGTTTTCAATTTCAAACGTGCAACTAATACCACTAAAAAAAGCGCAATACTCATGATTGTAGTAATATTACAGTTGAGAACGGAATTAGTAGTAAATGAGTCCTGCAATGCATGAGTTTAAATGTTATATACCATATCATCTATAGCCCATTTAGTACTGAACGTTCGTCATTTTAGCACACTCTCAGAAACAATTAGATAATCGGGTTGGTTATGAATATTCAGACTACACAACACACTTTCGGAAAATCAGAAATAAATCTGGATGTAGACATAACAAATGTCGCAAAAGAAAGGAGTCTATGCTACAAACCATCGTTTAAATTACCTTTCTTCTTTTTCAACTGTTTTCC